AAATAATAAATTAGCCATTGCTCAAATATAAAATGAAATTGATAGATCCTTTTGTAAGAATTAAAGTATAAAAGGAGCGTATATACCAGCAAGTTCGCAATAACTTCAAAGATAATCCTCAATCTACTCTAATAAACTCATCAATAAAATCTTTGTAAAGTAAAAAAGCATTAATAAAACATTCTTGCATACCTGAATTCCTTGATAGTCTTAATACACAAATTTATACTTGAAACTATAAACCATAAATTATGTCTCTGTCCCTACCCTCAACTAGTAACTTTGAAAGTCATGAAGCACTCATTAATCATGTTCAAACCTATGCCTTGAGGCATGGATATGCTGTGAGCATCAAACGTTCTGAGCGAGAAAAATTTGTCTATTTGCAGTGTGATAGAGGCAGTTATTACATTAATCGATTGAATCTCACTGATGAAACTCACCAAAGAGCCACAAGCACAAGGCTAATAGATTGTCCTTTTGAGCTATATGGCAAGAAGATGAAAGATAGTCAATGGCATTTAACAATAAAAAATAAAAGGCATAATCACGAAGCATCACAAGACATCTCAGGCCATCTGTCAAGTTGCCGATTAAATGAAGAAGACCAGCAAAGAGTTAGAGAAATGTCTACGGCAGGTGTTCGCCCTCGTGAAATACTTTCTACTCTTCGCCAAGATGATCTGGGTAAATTGGCAATCTTAAAAACTATCTATAATGCTAGGGATAAAATTCATCGTGATAATCTTCAGGGTCGTACACCAATTCAAGCTCTTCTTGATGAACTTGTAGAAGAAAACTTTGAACATAACTATCAATGTGATCAAAATGACAATTTAACCCATCTCTTTTTTGCATATTCTAAATCAATTGTACTTACCAAAATATATAACTCTGTTTTTTTAATAGATTGTACATATAAGACCAACAAGTTTAAGATGCCATTGCTTCACATTGTTGGCATGACAAGTTTTAACACCACATTCTTCTCCTGCTTTGCGTTCTTAAAATCAGAACAAGAAGATGACTATGTGTAGGCCCTTAATCGTGTTGCTCACATTTTCGGGAACGTTCCAAAGCCTAAAGTTATTATAACAGATCGTGAATTAGCCTTAATGCATGCTGTATATACTGTGTTTTCTGAATCTCAAAATGTTTTATATGTTTGGTACATTGAAAAAAATGTGCTGACTAGCTGTAAACGCCACTTTCAAATAAATGATGAATGGATTGAATTCATGGAATGCTGGTCTAACCTCATAAAGTCTCAAACTGAGGCTGATTTTGATAGTAACTGGGAAGGGCTGGTGAAAAAATACAATAACCAAACTTCAATCATTACATATTTGCAGGATACATGGTTGCCATTTAAAGATCGCTTTGTAAGTCTTTGGATAGACCATTATTTGCACCTGGGCAATATAGTAACATCACGGGTAGAAGGGGTCCATGTGGCATTAAAAAGGTATCTTCAAGTGTTAGTTGGGGATCTTCATATTGTTCATGAAAGAATTTCTTTAGCATTAAAAAATCAATATAAAGAAATTCAAACAATGATCTCCCAGGAAATGATTAAAATTCTCTACGCACAAAACATACCATTCTATGCGGAAGTTGTCACCAAGGTATCTACTTTCGTATTAAAAAAGGTTCATGAACAATTTTTAAAGTCATCTAATACAATACTGAAAAATCCACTACAACCTTGTAGTGGTACTTTTAAGTCATCAATGGGCCTTTCTTGTGCTCATACAATTAAGGAACTTCTTGAAAGAAATCAATGTTTACAACTTACTGACTTCCATCAACATTGGAGAATCCAAGAACATCAATTAGATCAGCAAAGACTATCCGAAATCGAAGATGTTTTACA